GGATGAATTTGTAACAGTTTTTGTCGCATAGGTAGAAAGCCAGAAAATTTGTGATAGTTATAATAAATTGTCTGCTTTTTGCATGTTATTATTTTATGTTCTTGGTGCATTATTTAATGAAATAAAAATTATATAGAGCATTACTACCATTAATATAAAAAAAATAGGGTTAAGTGTCATTGACAGTCGACAGGAAAAAAAGGAAGACCTGGGTAAGTACTATTTCATGTTTATTCTTTATTTATTATTATAAAAGTAAGTAAAATATAAAATAATAATAATATAATAAAAATGTTTCATGAGGCATGCATGCAAGTAGCTCTGAATAGCTCCTGGGTAATGTAAATCGATAGCATAATGTGAGCTTCACGTTCCCCAAATTGTGCCCTTTGAACCACTAACTACTATTCATGCCATTATAAGTTGTGAATCTCAAAGAGCAATAAAACAATAAAAATTATGAGTTTAATTCTGAGGAATAAAAAAGAAAAATCAAGGAAATCTAGGGTAATCAACAGCCTTATAAATACATGTAAAAAAAATAAAGCAATTAAATACGGACCAATAAGATTTAGATAATTTAAAGTTGATATATCTTACTACTTAGAAACAATCAACATGTAGTTGAACTTTAATGGTCATAAAAACCTGTGGAAGGATAGCTTACACTTCTTTCATCTATTTTCACTAAGTAAGATGATAATATGAGAAAGTAGAGATGCACCACCAAAATAGAATTTCAAAATCAGATAAAGGACTTGGAATTTTTGGTAAAGTAGGTTTGAGATCGGCCATATTTCTTAGTGTTTGAGCAGTAATTCTTGAAGGTGAATAATGTGATAACTACTACATTGTAGTATTGCATATTGTTGAATTGTGTTTTTAAGGTGCTTTCTAGGAGATTTTGTACTTATGGTTTTATAAAGGACAATTACGTTTATGATATTGTTTACTGGTTATACTGGTATTTACAGAAGAACATCAGATCAGTTATTTACCTGGCATTGTATTTAGTTCCTGCATGTTATCCACTCTTGATTTTGTAGTTATTATTGGGGCTGGTCTTAGATAATAATAATTAGAAGCCTCAAAAATAATGTACGTATAAATAAGGTTTTAAGGTATTTTTAAGGTGTATAATATCTAGAAAAGTAACATTTGCTGTATTTACTTCATCCAAAAAGATTGAGGTTTTATTAATTACATAAATAAATAATTATTCAGTAAGGAAACCACTACCTGAAGCTGTTCTGGCTGTTATTAATCAGTTTCTCATTTTCTGTGTCACTAGTGGACCAAGCATAGTTTAGTGGTTAGCATGCTAGTTTAATAATCTGAGGGTCCACAGTTCTTGTCCAATTACTTCAAAATTGCAATTTGCAATTAAAGACTGTGAATGTGTTATAAGGGTAATGGTGAACTCCCACTATACAAGTAGATTAGTCCTAGAATTGATGGTAGGTACTGTTGACTGGCTGCCTTTCCTCTAGTCTGTCAACTAAAAATTGGTATGGCTCATGCAGATAGCTCTTGTATAACTTTTAATGAATTTCTGAAACAGATAAACTGTGTCATTAGTAATAAATGTTTAAATCTTGCAAAGAAACAGCTCATATTCAGACTAGTAGATTACTGGTAACAAAATCTTTTTTTTAAAGAGGAATAATTTTATCATATTCATTAGGAGTTTTACTGTTTTTTACAAAATGAAAAAAATATATTAATGCATTGTTTTTACTTTAGTCAAGTATGACTTAAGCTCAAGCTTGCTAATGCAGTTATGAAAAACAAATGTTTGAATAGATAGTGTATAAAAGAATAATTGGTGTTCTTATACTTTTCTCAGCAATTCGCCACAGACTGTTCGTCTGCCAGATGTTGATTTCAAGTATGTTCAAGAGAAAAATCCTCGTATTGTTATTGCCTTTGATTCTTCAGGGAATATGAATCCCTTTGTAAGTAGATCTTTCAATGTAAAAAAATCTGAAACTTTATCATGATGTTAAAAATTATTTTAAACATATTACTAATAAATTATTAAAATATGTTTAATTGTGTGAAAGATGTTGTACATTAATGATAACTCCTTTAACACAGGGTAAGATTTGCTGATGGATTCTACAAAAATTAGTTTGGACCTAAAATATCTATTGAAGAGGAAAGAAATTTCATGTATTCATACTCTCAAGTAACAAAACAACCAAAAAACATGGAAAGTGTTAAAACATTTCTTGAAGGAAAGTTAATGACACGTGTTTAAATGTAAACTTTGTATTTACACTTAGTCCAACTTAAATATAGTAAAGAATGTCTAACAATTTATTTAAATATAACTAGAAAATAAACAGATAAAATGAAAAAAAAAACATGAGGCACTAATACAAAATAAATTATTTCTAACAAAACATTATTATGTTATTTAATGTGACATGAGACAACAGTTAAGTGTAATAAAAGAAACCATAATATAGTGAGGAAAAGAAAACACAATTATAGTTTTAAAAATGTCGTGAAGAAAAGTATATACCAAACTGAAGTTCTAACAAAAAATTAAATAATGTACTGTATAATTAGCTTAAAATGCAAAACATTTACATAACTGTCCAATGAAACTTTACTAGTAAGAGATACCCAGATCCACTCATAGTCATACCCCCCTCCCCCTTATTTCTTTCAAATACAAAAAGAACTTGAAAAATTAATTAGTATGCTATAAATATAAAGTTAAATTACTAAATCTGAAAAAATCTTATAGAACTGAACCTTTAAACAGAGTTTATTCCTCTTATGCAACTATATTTCTGACTGTATGGCTGTCCCCCCCCCCGGTTTTGAGTAACATTTGTATACATAGTTTTAATGTTCTTAATTCTGTTTTTAAGCCTGTGTAAGATCTTATACGTGAGTTGTGGTAGGAAGAAAAAACATCATCCAGTATTTCTTGCAGTAATGTTTGGATTTTGAAGACGCAATTGGTGTAATACAAGTCATTTTAATTCAAATGTATAGTACTGTGTGGTATATCAGAATACCATGTACTTTCTATCTCCTTATTTTAATATATTGTTACTTGAATTTGTTATTTTCATTCTAGCTGTCTTTGTTCTCTGTCATTCCCTTGAAGTAACACCATTAGTGATTTGTCCTTGATACTCTGTTGCATATCTGCTTGTTTGTCAATTTCCCATAGAATTTCTTTCCGAGAAACTTCAGTGATACAAGTCCTTTTTGATTAAAACTAGTTTATTCTTTCTCAATACAAACTTTGTAATACACTTAACAACTTTTATAACACACGCTATAAATCATAGTGATTCACACACTTTACTTACGGTGCCTACTGTTCGCTTGACTCAATTATCTATCTCTTCAATCCATGGTTTTTCTCGCCAGGCTTATATACTAAAAAGAGGGCGTCTTGAATGCATTCGGGCCTTCATGATCCTTCGAGAAACTCAAGCGCACATGCTCCCAGTATCGCGTGATTTTCGCTGTTGTAACAATTCTTATGTTGTGCAAAAATGTTTCCTGCATTGTCTTCCAATTGTAGGCTAGATGATGTCTCAAAACTATGACCTCCATTAAGCCTGAATTGGAATAAGCAGTCATGTGGACTGCTAATCCATCTGGATAAGCTTTATCTTTGAAATAAATAACATGTATTAAGTTTAAACAGTCTGTTAGATGATCACAGCCAGATCGGTCAGATAAAAATTATTCCTGATCCAGTAAAAGTGACCATCTGTTGTCAAACAAGCAAGCACACATGCTGTGTTTGTGTTAGTGTAAATAATAAAGATTGCTCATTTATGTTTTACATTGTGTCTAGTCTTTATATTTCAAGCTCACAAACTCAGTTATTCACAGAAATTCAGAACTATTCCGTAATTGGTATTTTGTCAAATTTCCTGTTATTCTGTGGACCTATTCCATCAGTAAGAAAAGTCAGTTTAAATTTAATATTGCTAAATATATATTTATTTGAAAATACTTTTACAACTGTATCAAATTAAAACACTTTTACCATTATTTACCTTTATTAACATTTCTTTCTTTCCAATATAATTGAATTTGACACAATTACAATTTTCAGTGCTATGTAAGTGAGAATAATTTTCAAACTTCAGTAGAATTAAATATTCAAACTTTCAATTTTATTCGGTGCAAAGCATATACGCTAGCTTTTGTAACATATAGGAAACCCATTCTTTTCCATTTATATTTACATATGTGCTTATTATTTTTCATTAAGCAGGAGCAGCTCAGGTTTTAATAGTTTGGTAGTAAAATGATTTTACTTGATATAGAAAAAGAAGTAGGGGTCTATTAGTGTCGTAAAACAAAATTACTCTGTGAAACAGACTTCCATTATCCAGTGTTTAAAGCTGATGTACTTCTTGCAGGATAGGGAGTGTTGTTATTTGCAATTTATAAAGTATTTTTGACAAATTATTTAATAAAACTGGCTATGAACAACTGTTTTGGCAACATGTTTGAAGTGTATTTAGGTGAATCCATCTGTCAGACAAACATTTTTGTTAATGTTTATTGGAATTTAGCATGGTTTATAAAAATATATATATATATATAAATCATCATCCATAAGAAACGTTCAATATAATCTTAGCTATTTACACTGTAGATTAGTGTGTATTTGAAGGATGTGTCAGGTCTGTATATTATGAAAAAATTTCTTGATGTTTAGGATAGGTTTTCCATTCTGCTAAGTGCACTGAAAAAGGTATTGAATGAATTTCCATTGGGTATTGAGATGGGAATGGTACACTTTAATGAAGAAGCACACATAGTAAAGGAAATGACAATTCTTAATGCAAATGAAGAAAGCTTTATCAAGGTGCTTCCTGATAGGCCCGTTGGTGAGCAAGCTTGTGTTGAATGTGGAATACAGAAGTCATTAGAGGTAACTATATGTTATCAGTTAAAGCACACAGTGTTTTCAAGATATAATGTTTTGGTAAGACATGACAAGGGAAAATTTAGATATAGGGTAATTCATTTTTGATAAAATAACATTATACAATTTGAAAAATTATTACATAATTCCCACCAAAATTAAAATTTTCAACAGGAATTTCTAGTGAAGGAGAGTCCATGTTTAATAAGCATTCAGACTTTTTCGTTTTAGTAATACTCTTCAGTTGTTGTGCATGGCTTCTCAACTTAGCTGAAAGGATTATCGAGTGCTTTTAGAATTTTGTGTTTAATATTTTTGGATTCTTTGAATGAAGCAGATAATTTAAACTCTGACTATTTACTATTCTGCATTAAACAATAATGTTCATCTTGTAAATTTTCAAAAATAAAGTTATATTTTAATTTCTTTTGTTACTGTTTCACAGTCTTATTGTGGACTATTTTGTTGTTAATATATTTCTTGTAGTGCCAGTTGTCTTTCCAGAATGGCTGATAGAAGAATGCTTTTCAAATACATTGTTTTTGCTTACAATTATAGTACTAATTGAGAAAACATTTGTAAAATCTATTGACATGCATCTATTATGTGTAAAACATTTCATTAGGAGAGACAAAATGAATTACAACAATAAATCAAAACTTTGTATCTTATCTGTGTTTCAGATTTTAAAAATTCAGTTATGGAAACTAGATATATATAAAAGGCAAAATAATTGTGATGTGAGAAAACTTTTTTCAGAGCTTTTATACTGTTTTCTTCCCTAAAATAGCTTTGAATTCATCCTGTTTTCTTCCCCAAAATAGCTTTGAATTCATTCTGTTTTCTTTCCTAAAATAGCTTTGAATTCATCCTGTTTTCTTCCCTAAAATAGCTTTGAATTCATTCTGTTTTCTTTCCTAAAATAGCTTTGAATTCATCCTGTTTTCTTCCCTAAAATAGCTTTGAATTCATCCTATTTTCTTTTTCTTTTTTAGTTGCAATGAAGTAGAAAATAAGATTTAATATTCTAAACGCTGGAAATGTCCGACATACTTTAAGAATTAAAAATTATTAAAAGCTAAAATGGGATATAAAAACAGAACAAGATTTGGTGAAGCCACATTAATGGTGGCAACACGTAGGTTTACTGTTCTTTCTATCTCATTTTAGCTGTTTATATTTTCTATTACCATAATTTAAAATTAATGAAACATAATTGATCTAACTTTAACCTAATAGAATATCATAAAAATTTTCACTTATCTAGTTTTAATTTACCTAATTACCATTAACTTCTGGTCAAAGCAAGCTACTAATATAGGTCAGAACTAACAATTAACCTAGTTATGAATGTAGCTAATTTAAAAATATCATTCTGACTTGTAGTGATTAGAATGTGTTAATTATTCAGTTTGTTACCCTCACCATTACCAGTATTTTCAATCATAATCCCATAATGCTTCACTTTGTTCTGCCTATTTAGTATACGCTAGCTGTAAGTCCACATTTTCAGTTGGCAGTAAAAAGTAATGCTAATAATAAAAATGTTAACATTAAATATGTACATATTGAACAATTTAACAAATACTATTAATGAAATTAGTATTATTTGCTTCAGACACTATGATCAATTCTCTATTTCTTGAAAAGCAACAATATATTCAAACTTTGTATAATCCTCCCTAGTAATGTCTAGTGACCAGTGAAAACCCATGTAACTTTAGATTAGGATAAATTACTATGAACATGCTACTGTTTAACTAGAATTTGTTTTAGCAGGATAGTAGAGCAGAAGAACTCTGAAGGTTTGAAATAATCATAAACAAATGAAATCAATAACAAAATTGTACAATAAGTCGTAGAAACATAGAACTCTAACTTAAATAAACCAAATTAAATGTAATAACAAGAAAACCATGTCAGACACAACTAATCTGAATTAAACTGTATCATATACACATTGTCAGTTTAACTGTAACATACAGACATCATCAGTGTGTATACCCTAGAGGATGCATCAAAATGTGACTTTTTTTCACATTACTGCTATTCTAAAATCTCTGTGACCATTTCTTTTACAAATGCCTTCCGGTGAGCTTATAATGCTAAAAACCAGGTTTTAGTACCTGTGTGGGCACAGCACAGATAGCCTACTGTGTAGCTTTGTGCTTAACAATAAACACTTTCACAAATTGTTCATTAGTGTATAATACATATGTTATTTATTTGCAGGTAAATTAAATACATCTCTGCATTTGTGTTCATATTATTATTTTAGTTGAATGTTCTAAGCACCTAATTCTGTTTATTTTTATATTTTTTTACATTACTTCTAGCTATTATCAACAAACAGCCAGTCTATTTATGGAAGCACTGTAGTGTTGGTGACTACAGGAGATATAACTGAAAAGAAAATTCAACTGCTCAAAAAGAACTTAACTGCATCCAGTGTACGACTGTTCGTAATATTATATCATGAATCTGAGAATGCCACTGCTTCTCTGCAAAGTTTAGCACACAGCACCACTGGAAGACTGATACATGTTAGAGAAGAGAATATTAACAAGAGCCTATCATTCACCAACTTAGTTAATCTCTATGAAGCATTTCAACTGGTCTTGCTGGGTCATTCATGGGAGTATTCAGACCTACCAATCACAGTAATGTTTACAATAGTAAAACTCATAATAGCTTTTTCTTTACATACTACTGGAGGTCCACATATTTAGTAATTTTATGTTTTACTGGTTAAAAAATTGTATAGAACTGATCAAGAACAGTTGAGTAAAATTACTTATTTTTCTAAGTAAAAATACATAGAAAACCCTAGCAGTAATTAGTGGAACTAACTGCAATTTACTGTATATTTTTCA